AGAAATAATAGAAATAGAATAGAATAGAAATAATAGAAATAGAATAGAATATAATAGAAATAATAGAAATAGAATAGAATAGAATAGAATAGAAATAATAGAAATAGAATAGAATAGAATAGAAATTATAGTAATAGGAATAGAATAGAATAGAATAGAAATTATAGAAATTATAGAATAGAATAGAATTATAATAGAATTATAATAGGGAATGACTAGCACAGGGATCAGCAACCTGCAGCTCTGGAGCTGCATGTGGCTCTTTCACCCCTCTGCTGCGGCTCCCTGTCACTCAAAATATCCATCACTACCACCAATGTGCGACACCTGCCAGCACACGATTTATTGAGCTTTTTGACCCCCGGTAGGCCAACCATGGATAAATCCAAGAAAAGAAAAGTTTCAGAAGAAAACAGAACATTTAATTCAACTACCTAGGCTAGTTTTGTGGCCGCTCAAGAAATAAGTCAGGCCCGGGAAGGGTTTTTGTGGCTCCCGGTGTTTTCTTTTCTGTGGGAAACGGGGTCCAAATGGCTCTTTTTGAGTGTTTAAGGTTACAGACCCCTGCACTAGCACATATGTGCAAAGGGAACCTTTACCTTTTTATAATAGAATAGAACAGAATAATGAATAGACCAGAACAAAAAAGAACAGAATAGAATATAGAGAATGAATAGAGAATAGAATATAGAATTAGAATTATTAGAATTGGAATGGAATGGAATATTGGGAGGAGCCTTGGAGGTCTTCTAGTCCAACCCCCTGCTTAGGCAGGAAACCCTAGAGATGCTGAGGTCCTTCTCCACTCTTCTTCCGGCCCAGGATCTGCTGAAGAAGTATTCATACATTCGCAAAACGAGGCCGGATGGGAACTGCTTCTACCGAGCGTTTGGCTTTTCCCACCTGGAGGCTCTACTGGAGGACGGCAAGGAGCTGCAGCGGTAGGCTTGGGAATCCCCAGACAGGGGAAGATGGGAAGGGGAGTCCCAGAGCACCCGAGACCAGTGGATTTTTAAGGCACCAGCCCAGTGCAGAAATTTACACTTTTTTGGGTGGGGGGGTTTCGTTTCAGCTTCAAAGAAATGGCAGCGAAAAGCAAAGATGTGCTTGTTTCCCAGGGCTTCACGGAATTCACCATTGAGGATTTCCATAATACGGTAAGGCCTGGTGGTCCTGCATCCCTGGCCTTCGAAAGCCACCGCCATCCAGGCTGGCTTGGGGGTGATGGGAGTCGTGGTCTAAAACCCAGCGGGGGGAGGGGGGCGGTCTCCAAACTTGGCAACTTTGAAGACTTTGTGAACCTCATCTCCGTTGTGATCGCAATTCAGGCACTCGGCCACCGGTTCGTATTTATGACGGCCGTGGCGTCCCGGGGCACACGTGGATCCCTCTTTTTGCGACCTTCCAAGGAGCAAAGTCTCAATGGGCAAAAGGAAGATCCACTGGGTCACTAATGTAACCATTTCGCTTAACAACTGTGGCAAGAAAGGTCGTTAAATGGGGCAAAGCTCACCGAACCAACCGTCCCGCCTTAGCAACAGAAATTCGGGGGCTCCATTGTGGGCGTAAAATGAGGACTACCTGTATAGAATAGAATTCTTTATTGGCCAAATGTGATTGGACACACAAGGAATTTGTCTTTGGTACATATAGGATGTTCAGAGGGTATATAAAAAGGATTTTTTTGGGGGGGGAATTTGGGAATGGACAGATGAGAGGCAGGAAGGAGAAAGTCTGGGAATTGGGGGGGGGGGAATGTTCCTTCGTTGTGCTCCCCTCAAATTTCTCCTTTGACTCCCTGCAGTTCATGGACCTGATAGAGCAAGTGGAGAAACAAACCACGGTCGGGGAGCTGTTGAACTCCTTCAACGACCAGAGCACCTCAGATTACCTTGTCGTCTACTTACGGCTGCTGACGTCCGGCTACTTGCAACGAGAGAACAAGTTTTTCGAGCACTTCATCGAGGGAGGGCGGAGCATAAAGGAGTTTTGCCAGCAGGTCAGGGGTGGGGGTGCCGGCGGGGGGGGGGGGGGGGGGGGGGCTCGAAAAGGAAATGAGTAATTTGGGGCTGGAGGGGAGAGAGCGGGAAGACAGAGCCGTGGCCAGCCCCCCTTAGCAGTTTGAGAGCCCTTAGGCTGCTCTTCCGATTTAATCTGCAGCCTTGGTTGTGAATGGAGTTTCTAGTCCTCTTGATAACACGGAAGAGCCGTGTTTGCTCCCGGACTTCGAACAGCCTTGGAGGGAGTAATGATTTCAAACGAGGTCAAACTGAAACACTGGCTATTGGTTGGCCTCGAAAAAGTTTTTCTCAGCTTTGGCGGCTTTAAGGTAGGTGGACGTCAACTCCCAGAGTTGACGTCAACTCCGGGAATTGACATCAACTCCGGGAATTGACATCTACCCACCTTAAAGCCACCAAAGCTGAGAAACACTGGCCTTAGGGGTAAGGATATGGCTGTGATGATCATAGATTATTGGCTGGAATTTCACAGTTGCAATGACACCATTTAGCAAGCATTCAGGACAGGGGGGAATGTTGGATCCAACGACGGGGTACCCCTACTCCTCCTTGGACTGCACCAACACGGAAGAGTTGGGGAGAATGGTCCTTGCGTGGGGAAGGCCTGGCCCAAGTAGCCAGTAGCCAAAGACTCCCAAAACTTCAGGGCTTCCGCTGCCATCAGCTCCCCAACTCAAAAGGCCCTTGGGAAGGCATCGTGCAAATAAACCCAGAACCCCCCAGAGTGGGGATGATGGGAGGGACCACATTTAATCGTGGGTGATGGGTCCAAGGTCAGGACTCTTCCTTCCACTTTGGTCCGAGAACCAGGCAGGATTCCGTGCGGCTCGGAGGGTAAAATGGGAAGCTGGTATTCCGAGGCCTCCACGGATCCAGCAAAGCTTTTGTGTTTGGTTTATAAAACTCAATAGGCCACCCATCTTACCTCAACGTTTCTAGTCCTCTTGAGGGCAAAAGAGCTCGGTCGCAGGCCTGGGTGGGCTCGGTGTGACTCGGTTGCAGGCCTGGTGCCCCTCTGCTTGGTGACTCAAACCAGCCTCTGTTCCACCCCATCCCACCCACCCACCCACCCCGGCCCCTCTCCCTCCCTCTCTCGGTCTTTTCCAGGAGGTGGAACCTATGTGCAAAGAGAGCGACCACATCCACATCATCGCCCTGGCTCAGGCCCTCAACGTCTCCATCCTGGTGGAGTACATGGATCGGGGCGAGGGCGGCACCACCAACCCCCATGTCTTCCCCGAAGGCTCGGAGCCCAACGTGTATCTACTCTACAGACCGGGACACTACGACATCCTGTATAAATAAAAGGGGGGGGGGGGGAGGGGCGAGGCAGGTGGCTGGTCGGCCAGCCCCCCCCCCACACCCTTCCCCCCTTTCTCTCTCTTTCTCCCCTTCCCCCTTGCTGACACCCCCACCCACCCCCCAATGTCCCGGCCTTCCCCATCTCGCCCATGTTTTCCTTCCACCACCACCACCACCCCCAATCGCCGGGCAGCCTCGTCTGTGCTTGTAAATGGTGATCGTTCCCGCTGCCCATCTCGCTCACTTGGTTTGTTTATTATTATATATTTTTCCCTGCTTTTGTTGTTACACTCTTCTGTGTTTTATTAAAGGGGAGGCCGGTGAGACAACCTGTTTTTATTTTTTTTGGCTTCTCTCTTAAGTGTTTCTGGGATAGGAAGCCCCCTCTGCCCCTGCCGATTTCGGAGGGCACAGGCCAGGGGCGAGATGCTCCTGGCTCAGACCAGTTCGGGCGAACCGGTAGCGATGGTGTCGCTCACCCGCCCGGTCAGCGTTACTTCCTGGTTTTAACCAGGAAGTAACCAGTGTTTTACCCTCTGCACATGTGCAGAAAGGTTTGTGCAGGCGCGGGGCGTGTGCACTTCTAAAGCGGTTCGGAAGGTAAGTAGATTTCACCCCTGGCACAGGCCCCTTAGGGCACACACCAGCAATCGTTTTGAAAAAAACTTTGTCCTTGACAGGCTGCACACAGTAAGATGCTAGTCCTCAAGCTTGGGAGGAAATAACTTTTAGCAGGGAAATGTATGGGGCAACACTCTGGATGGGGACCGGCCGGTTACCCCTTTCGTAGACATCAGTCTTTCTTGGATCCCCAATTCCTCATCAGTGCGTTCCTGAATTTAATTCAGATTTTTAAATCGAGCCTTTACTAGTGATTTAAATCGTGATTTCAATCAACTTGATTTAAATCAAATCCACCCTGTTCAGAGATAAGGGCCGCTGTTTCACGTCTTCTCCTGGGCAGAGACACCTGCAGCTGGGGGTGGGGGGGGTGTTGCATGAAGTCCCCGGGGTCATCCCTTGGCCGCCGGCCGGCGGCCTCTAGCAACCCACTGCCCCGTTTTTGCCCCGGTGCCAAAGTGAGCAGAGAAGGCTCCGCTTCAAGTCTTTTGTCCCGATTCCCTGAGGAGACGTAGAACAGCTTTCTTATTTTTCCTCTGGTTTTTTTTAGCCACTTTAGCAGAAAATTGCCAGGCGCGGCAAATCCTCTGCCGAAAGGAGGCGTTTTAAAACTCTCAGTAGCTTAAATATAAGTCAGGATAGACCAGGAGGTGTGGATCAAGTAGGTAGGCGCAGAGGTGTGGTATTCACTTACCTTCCCTGCCAGTTCGCAAATGTGAGCATACGTGCGGCCTTCCACCCGTGTGCGTGCTCGCCACCTTCATGCATGCGTGGGGCCTTCCATGCTTGCACGCATGGCTAGCACACATGCACGCAGCTAAAAAATGTGCCTAAGGACGGCATAGTGCCAGGGCGTGTAGGTGGGCCCACCTTTGATTTCCGCTACCGGTTCGGGCGAACCAATCCGAACCGGCTGAATACCAGCTCTGGGTAGGCGGATGTAATTCTGTCTGTGTGTCTCTGTGTGTGTGTGTTTGTTTCACATGAAATTTGAGTCCCGCTTCTACTCACCTACCCCTCATCCCATCCACCAGGCTTCACCATGCCACAACTGGATCATCTTTGCAATTTTTATTCTGGAATTGCGGCCGATGGCGCCTGGGGGAAGAAGGGTGGGTGTTTTCTTCGAGCTTTCCCCCTTGGAAAAGATCCGGCGTCTCCTCCTGCAGAGGAAGCAGCCGGATTCTCAGGAAGCCACTTCAGAGCTTTGAGGACGGAGTTTCCTCACAGGGATCTGCTGGGAAGGAGGATTTAGGGGTAAGAGTTGCCGTCCGTTTTCCGACAAAGCACTGCCCCCCATGTGAGCCCCGGTTGCCCAAAACCACCGTGGGGTCTGTGTGGCACCTTCTGAAAGGGAGGCGGGCAAGGTGGGAACGCTTCCTGTCTCCAGCGAAAGACCACGTGCGAAGAAGAGTCCGTTTTCAGAGTGAAGTGGGCAGCGTAGACATAAATGAACTTAAAAGTCGGGCGTTAAACTTTACCTGTGTTTGCATAGGGCAGAGAGAATTATGGCCAACTGTTGATTGTTCTCCTCCTCCTCCTCTTAAAATCTGTTGTTTCCTGACTTCGCTGAGATGATTCTAGGCCTGTTACTTACTTTCAGGGGTGGGCTTCAAAAACTTTCAGCAAGGGGTTCTCTGCCCAGTTGCTGGGTGGGCGTGCCCATGGTGGGCGTGGCCTAGTCGGCCTCCTGCACCATGGGGGAGGCATTTTTGCCCTTCCTGGGCTCCAGAGGCTTTCCTTGAGCTTCCAAGAGTGTGAAAATGGCCTCCCCAGGCTCCGGAGGCTGCAAACAGGCCCATTTTCGCCCTCCCCGAGCCTCTGCGCACACCCTGCACTTACCTGCATCCAAAACGGGCAGTGTGGGGACTCCTGGGAGGGGTGGGGCAGGGTGGGCGGGGCCAGCCAGGAGTGGGAACTGCACAAAATCTTAGCTAGAGGTTCTGCCGAACCCCTGCGAACTCCCAGCAGCCCACCCCTGCTTACTTTACTCAAATGTGGGAATGTTATGCCCTTTATAAGCCATATTCTGATTCATTCATTCCTGCTCTTTGCCCCTCCCTGTTCCTTGCCGTTTTTTTAATCCTTCTAACGCACGTTGGAGAGCCTGGCTTTGTTGTACAGTGGCGTGTAAGACGAAAGCACCATGGGAAAAATTCCGTGTTCATCTGGGAGGCGAGGAGAGTCCAACCCAGAAAGGCGAAAATACTGTGCATCTTTCATAAAAAAACAGAAGATGCCAGAAGGGTGACCGAAAACTCCTGGGAGTTTTATTCTGCTCCTGCAGAATTTCTCTCGTCATTGGTTGTGCATAAAAAGGAGAAAAGACGTACAGGTCTTTTGTAGGACTTTCTACGGTCTTGACCATACCATGTGGGGTCTAGAATGTCTATTGCTAAGCAAGGCGGTCGTTAAACGAGTCGTGTCAGATTTTACAAACTTTTTTGGTGGGGAGGCATGTTAAGGAAATCGCTGCAGCCTTTAAGAGTCGTGCGGTTATTAAGCGAATCTGACTTTGCTTGTCATTGGGGCACAAAAAAAAGGGGGGGGGGGATCACAATGACCCCGGGATGGGGCAACTGTCATAAATATGAAGCAATTGCCGAGCGCCCCGAGTTTTGATCGCGAGAACCCTGAGATGCTGCAACCGTTGTAAAGACACGCATCCAAATCAAGCATCCAAATTTTGATCCCGTCACGGTGGGGATGCTGCGATGGTCATAAGTGCGAGGACCAACGGTAAGTCCCTTTTTTTTACAGTCTCGTAGCTTTGGCCACTAAACGAATTAAGGCCGAGGGCTCCCCGTGCAGGCCAGAAGGAGATTCCCTTTGTGGGGGCCTTCTGGATCTCTTCCCAACTCGGACCAGAGGAAACGCGAGTTTTAATGAACGAAAAACCAGGTTAAGTAACGGCGAGGGCCAAATTGCAAACATGCGTTTCCCATGACTGCACTTTTGCACACCATGCTGGGAAATGCTTACCGCCTTCGGAGCATGGGAAGTGGGGGGTCAGGCTGGAAATGAGAGGAGGGAGAAGGTGGTTCCCAAAAATGCCATTGATCGCCCTTTCACCAGCCAGGTAAATCACTCCTCCTCAACCCAGGCAACTTTTAAGATGCGTGGGACTTTCAACTCCCAGAATTCCCCAGCCAGCATGGCTGGCTGGGGAATTCTGGGAATTGAAGTCCAGGCGTCTTAAAGTTACCCGGGTTGGAAAACGCTGATCTAGACAGAGGCCCCAAGCAGTGACTCACCGATAGGAAAAAACTTGGGCAGCTTCTCCTTATAAATTTCATCGTCCTTTTCCAGGAAAACACAGATGATAAGCCGCTCAACCTGGCCAAGATACAACCACGGTTAGCAGGAGAAGGAAGTTTGGGTGGGGTGGGGTGGCACATGGCATTTTTGAAATGTGGAGGCCTTCACGCATTGCTTGCAACTGGCATCAATTCAAAGTTTAAAGATACCATCTCAAATTAAGCGTTCGGGTTAGACTTACAACTTTTTTCCTTCGGCGTCGGGGTAGCAATTTTTTAAAAAAATAATTTCTCAAGAGTTGTATCTGGTCCATCCCTCCTCGCCCTCTTCGAAGCGATTTCTAACACAGGTAAGTCGTGTTTTTAAATGTTGGCTTTAACTTTTGTCACTAACCCGATGGTTATATAAGCGGAGGAATTATTTCTATTTATCTAAAGCACTACTCCAAACTTTGCAATAGGGATTGCCTGAGTTTATATGATCCCTTTAAAAGAATTTCCACCCCATCCTACAGGACACAAGGTCCTGCAAAGACCAGGTGTTGGCTGAGAAGTTAATACTGTGTGTTGAGTCGGAAAAGAGACACCGGGCAGAGCCAAAGAGATCCCCCCGTACCTTGTCCTTGTTGTTTTCTAGCCAATTGTGTAATGTGTCGAGAACAACCTCTGCAGCAGCGTCATTGGGGTAGCCTGGGGGAGAACGTGGGAAGTTGCTGAATATCTGGGTAGTTAACCCTGCCTACCTTTCTCTCTTTCCTGCCTCGGTACTTACCAAAGACCCCGGTGGAAATGCAGGGAAAGGCCTGTAGGCAGAGAGAGAGAGAGATTAAGAAAGGAGGTTAAGGATGGGGCTTCGCTCGGATACAAAAGGGTCCCAGGTTTTGCCTAAAACTTTTCTGTCTCGTACAAAGATGAGAAAAGGGGTAAATCCTTTTTCTTTCTTCCTTTTTCTTTTTTCGCATCTTGGGAAGCATCAACTTCCAAAGGGGATGATGTTGGATAAAATGTGTCTTGTGTGCAGGAGGGGACAATAAATGGATAATGTACCCAGAAATCCTTCAAGTTGAAAATCGCGGCGACGTTGAATTGGATCTCGATCGGCTGAAAAATGTAAATTCTTCCGTCCTTCCCTCGTAATCTCCGCCCCACCCCCACCCCACCCCAGTGTTTTGGATGGTGTTTTCCTCAGGGTCTCCTCCTCGAGCGGGGTTGGACTAGAAGACCTCCAAGGGTCCCTTCCAACTCTCTTAATTCTGCAAATGTGTTGGACTACAGTATCTGAAGCTGGCTGGGCCTCATAGGTCATAAGTCGGTGCCTCTGAAGTACAGCTTTCTCAAACCTTTGCTAAAAAAAAACGTGGTTCTTCTCTCATCCATCAATGGAAGTTCAAATTAGAGATTAACAGAGTTGGAAGGGACCTTGGAGGTCATCTAGTCCAACCCCCTGCCCAAGCAGGAGACCCTGCACCATTTCTGATGAGATGGCAGTCCAGTCTCTTCTCGAAAGCCTCCAGGGATGAAACTCCTACAACTTCCGAAGGCAACTTCTGTTCCAGGGGTTGATGGTTCTCACTGTCAGAAAAATTCCTTAGAAATGGATGAATTAGATCCGTGTTTTGCTACTTTTAAGAGGTGTGGACTTCAACTCCCAGAAGCCCCTACCGGCTGGGGAATTCTGGGAGTTTGAAGTCCACCCCTCTTCATTGTAGCCAAGATCGAGAAACGTTGATCTCATTCGTCCATTTCTAAGTAGCGTTCAATGAGACAGGCAGCCTCATGACTTCCACGTATTAGGGACTCCGGCTCCCATTGTCTCCAGCTCGAGGGACGAGCGGTGTTGGCGAGTGCTGCGGGAGAGAGATGGAGGGGGGACCACAAGGTGATCCCTCCTTAGGCTTCCAGACCCTACTTGGTCTTACCACTGTTTGCAGCTTGTTGTCCAGGGCAAGTTTCAAGCTGTTCTTGTAGCAGTCGCCGAGTTCGGTCTGCTGCGAGGAACTGGGCTCTCCCTGGGCGATGGGCCCCACGGTGTGAATCACAACTGGAAGGCAAAAGTGGGGTGTTGCTAGAAGCAGCCCCCCAAAAACCCTCCTCCCTAACTTGCTCGGAGATCTGGGTGAAAGAAGCACAGACTTCCAGAAAGCTGGCTGTCTCCTCCCCCCCCCCACTTCGTGGAGCCGAGCCAAACTGACTTTGCGATATACTTGAAATACTTTTACAAATTAGCAAATGAGAGCTTTAAAATAATTTGCTCCGCATCCTGTGGGGGTGTTTTCCCCCTTCCCTACTCCACCACCATCTATCCGGCTTTAATGGAGCCGTTCTTGGAGCCGTTCCATTCGGCATGCACTTAGCTACCCACTTATCCAAGCGGCAATATATATATATATATATATATATTTTAATGTCCCCTCTTGTGAAAATGAAGTTTACACACAAAATCCAGCCTCGCAATGATTGTCGTTCCCTTTTGGCTCCTTTTGGCACGGCGAGATAGAAACCTCAACGAGGAACTGATCGTTAGGAACTTGGCTCGTCCCCGGCCGTCCTTTTCCCAAGTTTTCTTTTTCTTTTTTTCCAGGGTTTCTGGAAACTCCCTTTTCTGATTCGAAGCTGCAATCCCTTTCTCTCTTTAGTTTGAGCCTCCAAGGACCAAAATGAAAAGCCCAAAGAACGTTCCTTTGGATTAAATAGATGGTTGTTTGTTTGTTTGTTTTTAAAAAAAGCAAAGCTTTCTCTCCATCTGTTATAAATGGTTTGAAACCTGGCAGTGTCGGCATCGGTCATTCGTGCATCACGCATCTAATACATGGGAAGGAAGAGTTCTCGTTTTCCCCTTTCAGGGACCTAATTCTTGGTGCAAGATGCTTAAGGAAGTATCTGCAAATATATGTATTATATATATGATAGAATTAGGTAGGTAGGTAGGTAGGGTAGATGATAGGTAGGTAGGTAGGTGGATAGATAGATGATAGATAGATAGATAGATAGATAGATAGATAGATAGATAGATAGATAGATAGATAATGGTAGGTAGATATATAGATGAGAGATGAGAGAGATGGTAGGTAGGTAGAAAAGATAGATAAGATAGATAGATAGATAGATACATGGTAGAGGTGGTAGATAAGTAGACAGGTAGATATGGTAGGTAGGTAGATATATAGATAGAGATGGTAGGTAGGTAGATGATAGAGATGGTAGGTAGGTGATAGAGAAGGTAGGTACATGATAGATAATGATAGAGATGGTAGGTAGGTAGATATAGATAGATGGTAGGTAAGTAGATAGAAGATAGATATGGTAGGTAGGTAGATATAGATGAGACAGAGAGATGGTAGGTAGATAGATAGATAGATAGATAGATAGATAGATAGATAGATAGATAGATAGATAGATAGATAGATAGAGTAGGTAGGTAAGTAGATAAGAGATACCATTTTCCTCAAAATAAGACCTCCCCTGATAATAAACCCAATTAGGCTTTTGAGTGCATGGCGATATAGCCATGCAATGCTTATTTCAGGGTTCAAAAAAAATATAGGACAGGGTCTTATTTTCGGGGAAACACAGTAGATAAAATGATAGATTAGCTAGATAGACCGACCTCTTTTATTGGCATATTCCTCTCCTTCGGGGACCCCAGAGTAGCCCAGCGAAGAGCACAGGCGAAGGGGGCTTTGCAAATGGCGAAGGAGGTTAAGAAGGCAAGATGGGGGTGGGAGAGAGACCAAGCACCCCCAAAATCTTGACTGCCTTCCTGTTGCCTCCTAAGAAGTAGCTGCTCAGGCTCCAGGGTGCGAAGGCCGGCTGGGGTCACCAGGGGGTGCTATTGAGCTAAGCAATCCCTTTCCTGGCAGGTAGGAAAGCAGCAGGGCCTCTGTGCCCATGTCCTGCCTATGATGGGACTGGGTGGCCTTTGCTGTGGGGGAGCTGGGCTGATGCCAATGGGGGAGGGGGGCTGATCAGGCAAGGGGCCAGGGTCGGCCCCCTCCAGGTGTCTGACCTCTCTGTTCAGTTGCTCCCCGGTGTTTGCACGCTGATGTGGTTGCCCATCTCCCGAGCCAGGGGTGGCAGAATGGGGGGCGGGAATAGAGCTCTTGCCCAGGCTGGGCAGGAGAAGAACGGAGAGCCACAGCTAAAGGCACCCTTGTCCCACCTGAGAGGGGGACGTCCTAAGAAGTGTCCTCGATTTAGTCTCGGTTTGGGAGGAAAAAATTGAGTGGTAGTACTGGAGAAGGTTCCTGCAAATTCCTGGGACACTAAACCCATGGAATGATTGACAGCAGATTTGTCACTGGAAGGCCCAAAAAATAAAATAAAATAAATCACAAAACGATGTCTAACTTACTTTGGCCCTGTTGTGCGGGGGAAACTCCCAGGAGAAAGCCAGGAAGAGTTAGCGGTAAAAGAAAACCAGGCCGCCAACTTTTCCTGAAGCTTTTGGGTGGGTGGGTGGGGGGGGGGAGGTAAGCAGAGAGCCAGCCACTGAGAATTGCCAGGGATCCTGCCAAGAATTGCCAAGAGTTCCTAGCCGGTTTGTCAAACCCTGGTGGTGCCGTAACAAACGCACGGAAAACGCGCTAACGCTCCAAGCCATAAAAAAACCTAATTTATAAACTCTTTTGAAGCTTTCAACTTGTGTATATTGTGACAAGACCCAGGCAAGTGTGTAAATCAAACCGTTTGTGATGGATAAAATAGATTTTTTAAAAAAAGCCCAACTGCTGAATTCGGCCGAACCGTCAATGAACCAACGGGTTGAATTCCCACAGAAGCAGCAACTTTTGATAAAGAGAGTGGTGAGCTTAGGTTTGCTTGCAAAACAAACAAACAAACCCGACACTCAAAAGTTTGTGCCTGTAGGTCTTTTGTGATGTGGGGAGGGAGGGAAACGGGGGACAGTGGGGGGGGGGGGCTTTGGTCGTTCTGTATTGGAAAAATTAAGACCTTTGGGGCAATGGCCAGACACAAGAAGCCTTCAGAATGACACCTGCGGGCTGAGTCTGCCGATGTTCTTTCAAAGCAACGGTGTTTTTTAAAGAGGGGGTGGGGGAATACCCAAATCTGCCTTGTTAGCCGGTTATTTGCAAGCAAATCGATTTAATCTCATAGATTGCGGTGGCTGCTGCAAGGGAAGGTTCAGGGGAGGGGAGAAGAAAGGAAAACCCCCCTTCACTCTTCTGGTCGAAAGAGACAGGAGGGAAAAGAAAAGAAAAAGAAATTAGCAGCCGTAACCGTCATGGGGGCCGGGCATGCAGGCAGGGTGGCGTGAAATTCAATTACAAGGCAGGGAGGTGGGCAAGGAAGCCGACGGGGAGCAGGTTGAGAGAGAGTGAGAGAGAAAATCCAGCAAGGAGTTAAAAAATGAAAATGCTTCTCAAAAACAAGTTTTAAAGTTTAAAGTTCCCAGCACATATTCAACACCCCCACCCCTCAAAAAGCTGGCAATGTTAACATTGGATGACTGTGCTCCAAAGTGCATTTTTCTGCCCATCAGCTGGGCAAAGGGGGGGCTGAAGTCCTCCCCCCACCCTCTAAAAGCATCTGCATGTGTTTTTAACCAGTTGTGTGAATTGAGCTGCCGTGGTTTCCAAACATGGCTTAGCATGCTGGGTCTGTCTATTGGGGTTTATCTGATAAATCAAATCACGCCTTACAATATGGGGATGTTAACAAGAGTCTGATTCCCGCACCCCCTTCTGAGCTCTTTGGGGTGACAGGCCAGCCCCCATCACTGGGGGCTCTCTGTATGTGTGTGTGTGTGTCACCCAACACAATCTCCCTCTCCCCCAAGGTCCCAAAAGCCCGGCCTACGATTAAAACTAACCAATCTTAACCTGGGATTACACCTGCCAGCCTTCCTGAGGCCCACTGAAGCCAGGTGGATAACAAGTGGGTGTTTCCTGCAAGCAGGTATAAAAAGAGTGGATGGAAAAGCAAAAAAGGAAGGAGGGAAGGAAAGGGAGGGAGGGAAGGGGAGGGGAAAGAAGGAAGGAAAAGAAATGAAAGGAATGAAGGGAGGGAGGGAGGAAAATAGAAATGAAAGAAGAAAAAGGGAAGGAAGGAAAAGAAATGAACAAAGGGAGGGAGGAAGGAAAATAAGAGGAATGAAAGAAGAAAAAGGGAAGGAAGGAAAAGAAATGAAAGGGAGGGAGGGAGGAAAATAAATGAGGAATGAGAAGAAAAGAGGGAAGGAAGGAAAATAAATGAAAGGAAGGAAGAGGGAGGGAAGAAGGAACATAAATGAAAGGGAAGGAAAAAAGAAAAGAAACAGAAAGGGAAAGAGAAAGGAAAGGGAAAGAAAGGAAAGGGAAAGGAAGGAAAAGAAAGGAAAGGAAAGGAAGAAGAGGAAGGGAAGGGAAGAAAAGGAAAAGAAACAGAAAGGGAAAGGAAAAGGGAAAGTGAAAGAAAGGAAAGAAGAAAAGGGAAGGAAGAAAAGGAAAGAAGGAAAGGAAAGGGAAGGAAGAAAGGAAGAAAAGTGAAGGGAAAAAAGAAAAGGAACAGAAAGGAAAGAGAAAGGAAAGGGAAAGAAAAAAAAAGGAAGGGAAAAGAAGGGAAAGAAAGAAAGGAAGGAAGAAAGGAAGGGAGAAAAGGAAAGAATCAAAAGGGAAAGAGAAAGGAAAAGGAAAGGAAGTAAATGGATGAAAAAGAGAAGAGAAACTCGATCACTTGAACCCTAACCTCATAGTAAAGAGACTCTTCACCTCTTCCCCTTATTTAATTAAGAAAATATGTTCAACAGCAAAACAATTGCCTTCCTGCTAAATAGAGGCCCAATCCATAGAGTTTTTAGTCTAAAACCAGCCTTAGTCTAAAATCAGAGATCAACACTCTCTTAATTAACAAAATGATACTACAGATAATCCTCGGCTTACAGCTATCAGTTTAACAATTGTTCAAAGTTACAACGGTGCTTTGTTTAAGACAAATACAGCATCCAGGATCACTGGATTGCCATATGTGACTTCCCAGCATACTGTCGACAAGCAAAGTCAAATCCGGGAAGCTGGATTCGCTTGGCAATCGCATGACTCACTTAAAGACCATGGCAAAGAAT